GTCGATAAATATTCAATATACATTCGATATGTATATTTGATACACATTTAGTATATATTCAGTATATCTGATATATATCCAGTATGTTCAATGCATTCAGTGTATTCAGTGTATTCAGAACATTCAGTATATTCAGTGCATCTAAAATATATCTGATATACATCTGATATGTACGATGCATTCAGTATATCTAGAATATTTAATAGATTCGACATATATTCAGTTCAGAAATTTCAGTCATATTTTTTTCTACAATAGTAGTAGTCAAGTCAAAAAAAAGTCATAAACAACATACACATTTTGAGAGATGTCAATAAAAAAAGTGATACCCCAACTGCAACTAGGCATTCATCTGATACTATATATGAGCAAGATCTCAAAGAGAAGTTATATTTTGCTTTTAGCTCTAAGGCTGAACTTAGGAATTTTAATGAAAAGTTGGTAGATAAGTACAATGAGCGGGAGAAGGAGTTTCAGTGAACTTATGCTAATATTGAAAATAAGATTAGCCAGCTAAATGCGTTTATTACTAAAGTTAAATCCCAATTTATTTCTGAATGGAAATCTCATTCTGAAAGTCAATGTGAGCTTGAAGCCAGATATACTGCCAAAATCAAATCGCTTAAATCAAATATTAAAATACTAAAGAGAGGCAACTTTGACCCAGAAAGCTTCGTCTGTTGACAAGGTCATAATTCTTTCTCTTGAAGCTAAAATATGAGAATTGAAAGGTAAGTTGAAAGACATAGATCTAGAGTATACATATTATAATTTGGATGTAATAGAAGGGGTGATAGAGGGATTGGTCCAAATAAATACATTTGTAATGGATAACCCTAAAGAGATCAATTCTCTCAAGCTTAAATTAGAACAGGTAAAGGAGGATCTAAATTCAAAAAATCATAAAATAGAATGTATAGAAAAAGGGATAAAAGTGACACATGAAATAACTAGTCAGGAAATAGATATTCTGTCTTCAGGGCGATTAAAGTTAATAGATGAAAATAGATTGCTACCCAACCAGTTAATATCAAAAAAGAGCCAAAAAATGCTTCATATAATGAAGTAGATTCTCTACCTTTATCTATAAATAATTCATCATACACAGCGCCTTTTGGCCAACCTTTCACTCTTAATCTATCGTCTCAAATAATTTCTGTAAGTAGCATAGAAGCAGTATCTTTACTAGCAACTACTCCTATCATTACAAGCCCTTGATATCACCTATATTAATATATTTTATACTTACCTTAGTACTTATTGTGATTATATAACATATGGTCAAAAAATGTTAGAATTCGTGAAAAAAAAGTAACCAATTTTTTACATATGAAAATTATATAAATAGGGGCTATACAAAGCACTTCACTCTATGACCAAGCTGAAAGAGATGTTTGCCTTACATACCTAGATTGAATATAGAAATTGAAATTAGCCAGTATTATTACACGAGAAAAAATATGTAGTCATAAATAATATTGCAAGTACTCTTAGCTAAAATTACCATACCTTCACTAGAATACTTAATAATATTATCTATTTAAGTACTTTGCTAATGTCTCTGACCCAGTTATATCCTTAAGATAGAAATACCATAAATTATTAATATTATCTAGCTAAAGATGGTCCCCATAATTATTTTTAAATTTTAATTGAGTTGCAACTTCATTGCACCATAAGGAAATTTAATTGCGTCACAAGTTGCAACTCAATTGCGTCATTTTTTTTAATTGCAGTGACCATTTTTACATCTAGCATTTCAATTTCTGATATGTAAGGTAAAACAGATAGGTCAGCAATTATCTCATTTTTTTGCATGAATGAAACTGAGCCAATTTCTTCTAGAATTAATATATGCTCTTTATAACATATATAATAGACCAATTTATGAAAGAATAAATTATACTCTTCAATACACTTTGCAAGTTTGCTAGGATATTGAGCAAAATCAGAGCATATTTTTTTTTCATTTCATCATCCACCAATAGGTTTTTATCTTTTGAAATTTTCCTAACACATTTCATAAATTTCTCTCATAATACCTCGATAGGGTTACTTATCATGAAAATCTTGTAGCTAAGCTATCCATCATAAAATATTTCATATGAACTACCTATCTTTTAATATAACATTTCTTGTGCTTTTTTGATCGCATTTCTATAGGCGTGTTTATAAGCATTTTCACAGGTTATCATCATCTTGAAAGTAACACTATTCACTATAATATTCTCTTTTACAAATCCCTCAAGCCATGACTTGGCCTTGTTTTGAGCATAATCATTATCTGCTTATATTTCTCGTTTGGGTCTTCAATTCGCATAATTTAACTAGAGAATACTAGCTCGTACTTCTTGTCATACATAATAAATCAAGCATAGAGTCTAATAATAGTTTTTTCAAAATAATAATATAAATTTAGCTCCTTTTTCAATTTCTTTACCACATCAGCGAATTTTATTTTTTCATTCTTAGTTAGCATTAATTTTTTACCATATAAATCAAAAGTGTTTTCAGAATGAGTCACTATATAACTAAAGTGCTTATCTAGTACTGAAATCTTACTGTTATATTTTCTTTTCATTCGATTTATAAATTGCTGAACAGTTTTGTTGTTTACATCAGGTTTCCATGCATCAGTCTCCATAAACTGCTCAAAATCCCATTGTTTGAGATTGGTTATGGCATCCCTGAGAATATCTTCAACAATTTTATGAAGAATGTGCTCATTATTGATATCTCTGACTTCATTCATAATCTGTTCACCTATAATCTTAAAAAACTGAGATTTGCTTCATTTCACAATATTAATTCCTCTAATGAAAAGTTTCTTCAGACTGAAGTTTACTTTACCTTCATGAGGGATGCTAAAATATTTTTTCTTCCTAATGAACACTACTGGAAATAATACTTCTTCATAAGTCATCTTAAGATAATCTGATCTAGTTTTTAGTCTAAGAAAAGTGTTTACTTCATTACGTAATTTTTTCATTACGACTATAGTAATCTTAACCATTTTGGTTTAGTACTTTAGTTTCAAGATTGTGACTTTTTCATCATTGTAAGCTAAATCATATTTCTCATAACAAGAATCTGAATAAGTGAGATATAAGAAATCAGTATCACCATATTTTATCTCAAAACCTTTCTTTTTCACGAATTCTGCAACAAGTTTGATATTTTTCGTCTAGCTGAAGTAATGTTTTCAGCGAGTTTTATAAACTTGAATGGGAAATTGCTATTACCCATCTCACTATAAAATGAATTCATAAACAATTTAATCGCTTTCTGCTTTGAATTCAAAGAATTATGATTAAAACAAATGGAATCATATTCTTTACTAAAGCTATCATATGATGAACTAATAAAAGAATTTAAGATATTGGTCATTTCAGCATACTTTTTCTTATTTATTATCGAGGATAAAACATCTTCAATTGCATTCACCATGAGAATGATTTACTAATACTAATCAAATCTATTCTACTTTTAACTTCTCTTATATAATCCTTTTTCTTTTTAAGAAGTTTTAGCTGAACTTTTACTCTATTCTACATATTAAGCAAATTTTTTAATATTTTTGGAAACAGACCTTTCTGATCAGATTTATTCTCATGCTGTATGATCCATGTTCACATATTTTGACCATTAAAGTAAAATTCAATATTGTGAAGTACTTTATTTTTTCTTTTAAACGTATCCGCTTCTAAAAGTTTTGAAACCATCTTTTTTAACGAGAGGTTGTAATTCATAATTATATTAGAATACAAGGAAGCAAAGTCCAAACCCATCACAGGACGTTTATTCTTAAGACCTTTCTTTGGAGGAAAAATATATGCTCCCAGATATTTCTTAGATTTTTTCTGCTCAAAAGCTTTTATGGTAAATAAAATATTCTGCACTCACGCTTTAACATCTAAGAGATTATATACTTTCTTTTCTATAGCATAATAATGTGTGTTGAATAATGACATATAAGTGATTGAGGCTACCTCTTTATAATCATTTATGATATTATATTTAACCATGAGCTTCTGATAACGTAAAGCATCTATAATACAATAATTTACAATTTCGTGCATATTTTTGATGGAAGAATCAAAAGTTCTGTCTTTGGCTTTTAAATAATACTTCCATAATTTATTTATAGGTATATCAGCTTTGCTATTGAGATCACACTTTTCTAAGAAGAATTTGAGTGATGTTTTCTCAGAGCGGGGGTGAAGTTGCATAAACTTACGTAAATATCAATTGATATACATCTAAAGAGTTTAAGAAAGTAAGATTCAATACTTAAACTAGGATAGATTTTGATCTTAATGGATTCTTGATATCCTGTTTTTTTATGATTCTTATCTAGTAAACTCCTATCTGTCTTTTTACCCATTGTGAATTCTTCTGGAAGAAAATACTACTAGATAGTTTCCTTTTCTCCCCAAAATAATTCCAAATAAGAATAGAATTAGCATTAGCTTTTTTATGTGATTTCGCTAACATTTGCTAAACTATTCATTCGAATGCCTTTAATTTGATGATTTTTTTCATAATAAAAGGCCAATCATATTCTAAATCGTTAAAATCAAGCTGGATATCTGAGGCAAAAGATTTCTAATATAAAACAAAAGCTTTTAATAAATTGGCTTAATTTCCATATATAATTGTTGTCTAGTGCAGGTCTGGAGTTATCTCAACATCAATAAGACATATTTGTTCTAGTGGTTTTGGATCGTCTTTCCAGTATAGGGTCATGCAGATCGTAAAAACTTAGGACATGTTATTTTTTACTTCTGAGAAGTTCTTTGATCTACATGAATCGTATATTTCTATATCTTATATTAGAACTAATGCTTAATTGTGAGTAAAGAGAGAAGATGGATAGATTTTATAAAGTGGTTCAAAATTGTCTATGGAGCGAAAGCTATTAATGTAGACATAAAATGCATGTGGGTAGTAATAGAATTTCACATAATAAAGTGCACTAAAATTATATCTATAATCATTTATTAATTCCAGCCAGAAAGTGTTATCTGATACTCTCTTACAACTTTACAATAATATGTATCTGTATTGTCTAAAGCTGTCTCTATTTTACATTCAGAATCAACCTTTGAATTGTAGCTTGAGATGATATCAAGAGTAGTAAACCTTTCATCTCTATTAGATGTGATAATATGAAGATATGACTTTTTTTCCATATGATAATCGCGAATAGGATATGTCTTTATACATTCCATTTAAATTAGATTTATATTCATAGTACTCCCTCTACTGTCTTTTCTGGTAATAAGTATTCTCTTTATTTTGAACTAAAATTTGGAAATACTCATATTATTAGGAATATGAATATCGAAAAATACCTTAATACTAGTAATAGTGACAACTGCTTTCTGGCTATTAATGAGATATTTATAGAGACGAAGAATATAATGGAGAATTTGATTAATATATTCTTTGGATTCTTCTATGTCGACTGACATAAATAGGATATCTTGATGATTTGCTATCTCATCCTCAAGAATTGAAGTTGAAACCTTATCATTTCTCGCAACTAATTTGTCATGAGTTGGAATATCTATCAAGTAATTTTCATCAAAATAATGAAGTACCTGACTAACTTTTTTTTTTCAGCCTCTAGGTGAAAAAGGGCAGGACATTGAGAAAGTCTGAAAGCTTGAATTAGATCATTTTTGAAAGATTTATAATTATACCAAAACTCAAGGTATAATATTCATAAGAAAAAAGTTTAAAATAAAATTAATTCTTGAGATTATTAATCAATATATATAAATGGGGCTGAAGGAAGAAAATACCAACTGGAGATTTTATTTCTGTTTATACATTCTTAGGACTGGAAAAGTGTGTAATCAGAGATGCTATTATCTAGATGGATGCAAAATTCATAGGGATTCTAGATAAGTTCTTTATAAACAACCTGGGTGTATTGAAAAGACTAGAGGCAAATATAGATTTTGCAATCCACATGCAAAAAACTTAGGGTGAAAAAATACTATCATCAGAAAAAGCTGATTGAGCTGGCTAAGCTGAATATATGTGAATTTTACGATTTATATGCAAAGAAACATAAGGCTAAAGAAGAGTATTATTAAAAAAGCTGGTAGAGCTAGCTAAGCTGATTGAAAAAGATAATATAGAGGTAAACAGCCCTAATTAGATCAATATTTCTATTAAAATTTTTGGGAACATTATAAAAACACTTATAGGAACATATTTGTATAATACTTTAGCAGTAGAAAGTATTTTAAATTAATTTGAACTTCTTTACTTTATTTTTTTTATTACATATTATACATATACTATATATATACTATATATACACTATACATACACCATACATATATCATATGTATAGCATAGAAAAAAATTGAAATTTTTCTAGAAGTTTTATTTTTTATAGGAACAAATAGGAACATAGGAACAGATATCAAATAAAGTAATCAATCGATTCAAGAAAGCGAAGGTAATATACAAATATGTTCCTATGAGTATTTCTATGAAATTTTTTTAGCTAAGTTGATAAGAACACTCAAAATTAGTATATATATATTGGCAATAAATAGGTGTACTTTTTTTGGCAATTAAATGGGCTGGCCATAGTAATGAAAGTGTATCACTAATTCTTTAAATAACTGAAAATACAATATGATACTTTTATGATTCAAACTTTGGGACGTGAAATTAGCATATTTATATTGGCAATAAATAGGCAATAATTAGACATACTTTTAGTAATCAAATGAGCTAGCCATGATAATATATATCACATCTTTAACCTCAGACGCGAAATTGGCATACATGTATTAGTGTAATAGTTAGATTATAGAATGATGTACTTTTAGCAATCATTTAATTTCAGCTAACACTATTCCATGATTTTGGCTAGATCTTTGAACATAATAATTTAGCATCTAAGCTGATGAATTAATATAAACCTCTCTGACATTCTGGCAGTTTTTCACCAATTCTATGACAGTTTTAGGATATTACTGGATTATTATCATAATAACTTCTCAAAACTATGTGCCTAAAAGATTAGCTAAAAATTATACCATAGTACTGATCAAATTTAGACGCAGATTTATATCGAATTTACTGCACCACCTATCACTTTTTTTTACATGATTTTAGCATCTAAAAAGGCAACTAATTAGGCACAAAAGGAAAGCATTCTAATATAGAATCTAGCATCCAATCAGACGCAAGAGGTTAGCATCCTCAACATAAAATCAGATATCCAAACAGCTACAGAGGATCAACAACTCCATTATAGAATTTAATATGTAAATGATTCAGAAATAAGAAGAAAAGCGTGGTATTTAGATTATATAGTGGTAGTTAGGTTAAATAGTGAGTGAAAATTAGATTATATGGTGGTAAAAAATACAGATAGCAAGGAAGATTTAAAAGGATAGCTAGAGTATAAAAAAGATACCTAATACATAAAAATAAATAGATTATATAGTGATAATTAAATTATATTATTTAGATTATATGGTAATAATTAGATTATAATTATTTAGATCATATGGTGATATTTAGATTATATAGTGGTATTTAGATCATATAGTAGTATCCAGATTATATAGTGGTATTTAGATCATATTGTGGTATCTAGATTATATGATGGTAATATAATATAAGGCAAGTGAGATACTACCATATAATATAATTATATTATATGGTGGTATTTCACTAATGCTTCTTAATAAATAATTGTTATCAATATGTTTTTTTAATATAAAAACTAAATTTCTTATTTAGATTTATTATTACAAAGGGTAAATTTCTTTGAATTATAGATATACTTTATTATAGGATTATAAAAGTCAAATTCATTCATATTTTTATAATAAACAAATATTCATTAAGCAAGAATAATTTTAAATTTTATTATTAAAAAATTAATCAATAAAAAGAAACTATTAGTTTGTAAAAACTCAATATTTCTAATATTGTAAAATTAGAATCATTTAAAATGTCTTTTATCCTATTATTCTTATTTACTTTTCTTGTAACTTTCTTTCTCATTATCATCACAAAACCTGCAGTGTATATAATATAAATAGATGTTAGTAACTAGAGAATAAAAATCAAAAACAATAAAGATGACATTACCTTTTTCTGAAATATGTATAAGGCATCATTTGATGTAAAAATTGTTCAACATTATATTCCTCTTTAGCCAATCGGATTGGGTCAGTCCATAAATGTAAAAGACTTTGAAAGATTATTTTATATTCTGTAGTAATGTTAAAAGAGTCTAAGCCGCAGGCAATAAGTCGATTATATTTAGATAAGTTATATATAGAATAAATTTACTATGAAGGTCATATAATAAAGTATTATTAAATTGTTTATATTCTTCATCATAGCAATATATCTCTAATAAAGATTTATTAATATATGCTGAACCTACAAGAAGAATGAAGATAGTTTGTCAAAGTAATTTTGGATATCAATATAATATGAAACAGACATTAAATAAAAGGAAAAATATCCTTACCAATATGTAGTAATAGGTCTAAATTGTTACCTTTAACTCATTAGCTAAACTATCTTCAAATGTAACATCTGGTGAAAGTGAAGATCCAAGTTTATATTTTATTTTACTGTCTCTGTATGCATGATTCTTAATCTATGAATAATATTATCATGTTGATTATGTAAAATAGAATGAATACTAAGAATAATATTTAGAATTATACCTGAATTAATATTGTTCCTATTTTTATATTTTATTATATATAATTGGAATAATTAAATCTATACCTTTTTGATTTCTTTTATATAACATAGTACCACATCATTTATAGATTGAAATAAGATCTTCTTTAACTAGTACATATGTGACTGGAATAAAATGTATAAATTCTAACATAAAACATAAAATCATTGAAATAGGAAAACTTTTCTTTTAGAAATGCGTAACCAAAAAGTTCTTGAAGGAAATCAATAACTGGAAATTGAGAAGAAAATGCCACCTATATATATAATAATGAGGATGAGAACACAAAAAAGTGATAATTAAAAAATGCTAGCTTATAAATACCTTAGAGTTATTTGACTTTTTTGAGAGGATCAGATGATGTCAGGCATTCAACAATAATAACCTTACAGCAAAGCTTACCTTGAGTACTAGCATTAAGAATACCACCTAATCGAAAAGTGTAATCTAATTCTTGAAGAACTTCTTTCCAAATATTTCCCTTTGACATTAATTCCAATAAAGCCTCTGAAAGTATAGGTTCAGAAAGGTATGTGATAATATAATTTTCGTAATCTTTGTCAATTGCAATCAGAGTAGCCATGTATGCCCTAACAAGTTCTGATACAATGCTTAATACTAAGAAGATATATAAAGCAGCAGTGCATATAATTAATGCAAGAGTAATAGTTTTTTTCCATTAACTATTAGATTTACTTCTATTCTAGCTAGAGGTACTTCCAAGAAGTTTAGCTTTTGCAAGATTTATTACATCACGAAATTTAAATTGATTATCTGAATATTTGCTAACTACCTAATTAGATGCTTAAAGAGGCCTACCAAACTGAATAATATCATGTGCTAAGATATCTGTATCATGTGAAATCTGGTCTATATCACTATATAAAACTAAGTTATAAAAAAAAGTTATCAGAAGCAAATAATAATACATGTAAACATTTCAAATAAAAGTAATGAAATATAATATCTTAAGCAATCCTGTGTTACTATGTAAATAAATAGTTTGTGAATATTACAATCATATTTCCTTGCCTGTAAATCCAAAAATTAAAAACTTTTAATAATTTGTAAAGTCTGTCATTTTGACATAGAAATATTATTTTGTATACACTTACAGAACTGTCTTTATTTTTTGATAGTGCAAGGTTAGCAATAGAAGAATTTGTATCAGTAAGAATGCTATAAGCATATTCTGAAAAAAAAATATAAAGCTCAGCGAATTGCTCAAAAAGGTTTATTATCATTATCTTGATTATTTTTATAAGCTTGGTTTATTGTAATATCTATTAAAAAAATAAATCTTAATATAAGAATAAATCTCAACCTGTTCTAAAATAGAAACAAAATTATATTAAAAAGGGCAGAAGATTCATCAAAAAAATGGTTATTTTTTTTGTAATTTTATTATCAATTTTTTAAGCATCCCAATTTGATTTTAAGATCTCTTTTGTTGAATGAATCTTTTCTTAGAAATTGTTTTCCAATTCCTAATGTTATAGTTATTAAATAAACTGTTAATTTATCAACACTCTTCTAAATCTAAATATCAAATTAAATCTTCTGCTTACCACC